ATTTGTCAAACTCATATCAAGACTAAACTAAGCTTTCCTGGAGATGACCATTCTCTTTGTTTCTAGTCTTAGCACATCAGTGCCATGATCAACTGTGGCTCCACAGTGCAGAGATGAGCCAGACAGACAACTATCCATATTTGTTCAGCAGTTGTTTTTATACCAGCAGAATATTGGTTAATTCACAGCTTCAAAATGTGCTGGCACCAATCACTGAACAAGCTGAAGGGTGTATCTGGACAAACATAACACAGTGTGATATGTAATACTGGTGTTCGCCATGTTCTGTATGTATTTATACTGAGCTCTGTGATTTGTAGAGAGGTTGGAGAGATCGTATCATGAACACGCTACATGTGGAAGCTGTTACTGCTGGACTATTCATCTTGGGTACTATAGAAGTGTGTGAGACATTTAATACATAAAAACCTCCTCGCTGTAATTTAAGCTGGGAGATGCTGGATAAGTTAGAGCTCATGTCAAGGATGGCTCTTATTTTGTTTTTTGTTGTGCATCAACTTGATTATTCAGTGAAAAATATGAAGCTATATTATCCAAAAAGTATCAAAATATATCAAACAAAGTATCTGTTTATTTAATAGTAGATCAAGCTATTTTCATACGTTTTTGTTTACATGGTCTCTTCAAATATTAATCCATTACTGTGGATGTGTCTATTAGACTGATAGTTCTCATTCAATATCAGTCTAGTTGTGTATCTCAAGACAAAATGTGCTCTAATATTTAATTCACATGGCTTGTTTCCATGGTAATTACACTAATATACATATCTTTAGGCCAAAACGTTTGGCAAATCTGGACACACAATTGTTGGAGAAAATCCATGGGACCCACATGATATTGTTCTTTAAAGGACTCACTTGTAATTTCCATTTGTGTGTATTGTTTGTTTAATGATGTGTGTACTGCTTTAATATGAGGCTGACATTTTCCACGCAGCATGCAATCAGGAGCCAAACTAGTGCTCGCTGAAGTAATGCTTGGTCATTGCATGTTTTGTACAGCGTGTTGTATGTTCTTCATGGAACAGCAATAGAGACAAACACTGATACTCAGAAAATCAACTGACTGGAATGATCATTACCAATTATCTGTTTTGGCAGATTGAGCGTTTTCATACATGTCGCCCTCTTCTGAAGGAAAATGTCTGGCTGTGTCTAAATTTTAAAGGCTTTATCTTCTGACCACTGCTGTTGCTTGGGAGAACAAAGAACAAATGTTCACTAATTCCAACCCCCATGCCCACCCGAGGGGGTCCTAGTTAAAGGAGGGTGGCATGAATATAAAAAAGGGGAAGAACAGAGTCTTCAGAGATATTCCTTTTTGGCCTGGGGATGTGTACTGTATATACTGTATATTTGTACATAGTTTGTCTTTGCATGCTACAGGGTTAAAGGGAACAATTTGCTTGGGTTCCCTAAACCCCCTGACCGGAGGAGACATCAGCATAACACGACTCGTCACATTCAAAAGGGAAAAAGCCAAGAAGCAACCACATTGGTCACTCACTCGTGTGTCGGTTTGCTAATTGCCGCAGCACTGATATTGAAGCAATAACAGACGAGCGATGTCAGCGTGTGATTTTCCTCAGACAACATTTTCAGTCTGCAGACATTTTCTCCTTGGGAGCTCAGTGCTAAGCACATCCAACATGTCACAACCGTGTATGGACAAAAAGAAGAGATGAAGAGAAGGGACATCTGATGAGTTGATCATCGTACTGCTTCTTTGTGGTGTCATCTTTGACACCATTAAGTGTTTAGCACCAGCACTGGCTATTCAAGCGTAATTTAAACTCCCCTGAGGAAGAAGAGGAGAAAACGCAAGATTCTGAGTCAGGATGAAGAAGATGGGGGACACTGTCTGAATGTTTCTTTTGATCTAAAGAACAAAAATGAGTTATTCTAGAAACACATAGATAGAACCCACCTTTTTTTTTAGATTTTAAATCAATTTGCCAAATAGATAGATATAATCCAAAGTGAATGGACTGTATTGTTCATTTTAAAAGTGATTTCAATGTGTTTCTGTAAATAAACTATGGTTTTAGTGAAGATCATGTCTTCAGTCTGTATGTGTTAAAGCTGTTCTCCAAAATGGTGCGCTGACATCACTAAATTATGAGCGCACCAATAAATCACCAATAAATCACAGGTTCAATAACGGCCAATAAATCACACTGTAAAGGACAAGAGAGCCAATTATATCCTGATATTTCTAAGTTAGTGGCTTTTTATCTTTCACATCTGATTCATACTTTTCAATTATGACAAGGCAATATATGGGCAGGGTGTGTGAAAGGACTTGGCAAGAAGGAGGAGACGGCAACATTAAAACTACCCTCAATTATGAGGAGACAGTAATTCAGTGGAGGTCTTACCTCACCCTTTTTACCATAAATCCCACAGCAAGTTAGAGTAATGTTAACAAGCTTTGGGATGGTTTTACTCACTCGGGCTGGTGGGACTCTGGTTTTATTCGTCTGTGGAATAATCCAATGAAAGTGTAAGAGCGGCTTTACATAATGCAACTTCTGTGCAAGACTCTGCACAACGTAAACAAACCCTCTAAGTGTTTGCTTCGCCGTTTCATCCTGAATGGTGCAAAATTGTGTTTTTCGAGCTGAAATTACAACCTCCACAGAGCTGGAGTTGTAGTTGCAGCTGCGTCCCAGTGTGTTTCCCACAGGTTTGGAAATGAAGAACTCTCACTCAGAAGTGTTCTGTCAGTGTTAGAGTTATTAGGTTGAACATGGGGAGGGGCTGAGGTCAAATGGCATGTTCAAATGCTCTTCATAATGTCTGAATTATTACTTCTTACACACTAAAATAGTATTGTATATGTCATAGCCTGTTCAGGCTATTACATGATTATTAGAAGGGATATAACCCCCCTATCTCAACCAGGGATTATGCCCTCGCTGGAAATAATATTTCACTTTGCAAAGATTTTCTAAAATATGTATTTGATCTAGTTGCGGAATATACACAGATCATATGTGCGTCGCTGGCAGGCACATGTACATGTGAAATCACTGCCCGGAGGACACAGCGGCTCAAAAGCAATTCCTATCCCTGCCACTAACACAGGGGTTGACATGGGGACATCTTGGACAGTTTGACAGGTTGCTATGCCAAAGCCTTTTTGGCACTTTGATGGTGCAGTCACACCCCTGATTTAACCACACACTGTGTCATCTATGACAGACTTTCCCCTCCACACTCCACAATGGTGTGTGGTTTCTTTGTATCTTTGAGTATTCATTATTTTTAGACCATTAATGCCGAGCTTTGTTGCATTATTCAGTGAACATTCTGTCTGTATGTGTGAGACACATAATTTGAAATCATACCTCAGTCTGCGACAGTAATGTGATATTGTGTGTATGTTTTTTGTGCTGCAAAGAAAGACCATTAAATGACAATAGAACAATCAATGTTAATATGTAAGAGGATACACATTTCACTTGTATCCATGACCACAAATTTTAATTGGATCAATGTTGCAGGTTTTCATCGACTCAGCCTGGATTTTATTGTAGCAGGGGGTAGAAGTGGTTGCTGAGTTATAGTTACTTTTCATTCTGATGCAGATAAAATCAAAAAATTGAAATCACATCATTACAAAAACATAATTTTCTTTCACTTTATATCCACATTTCTCTAAAACCTCCCTATATGGATCTGTACACTGCCCCAGACATACTTTAGGCCTATGGCTGCATCAGCCCTGACTTGTCCAGCTGCAGGTTCTACTGCTGTTCTCTCTCCTCTCTGCTCGCTCTACACTCAGTGGAGTGAATCCCCTCCTGATAAATGATAAATTCGGCAAACAGTCTGATCGTGCACATGATCACAAGCTCCCCAGTACACCGTGTTCCTCTGCCTCCTCTGCGCCCCTCATCAGCCCCTGAAGCCCCGCTGGCATTTGCCTGGCACCGGCTCGGAGGTGCCAGTCCAGCAGAGGTTGAGTGAAGCCAACCGGAGTCAACCAGGAGGAAACCGGAAACTAATATTGGCTTTCACAATTAAAGCACATTAGGGTTGCCATCCACTTAAGGTGAGGTATTGAATCCTGATTTTATGAAAGTATAGTTGATCAGCATGCATGTTTATGGTTATGGTTATGTTTTACTGTGAAAAGATCTGAAAATTACAAATATATGATAATTGTCCACAGTTAAATGAGGTTGTCTTGATTCTCCTCTTTTCTTCGTAACCCTCAGGAAAACATTCCACTGCAGTTGGTGCTGATAGGAAACGTCTGCAAGTGCAGGCCCATGCACAGATGGGACCCAGGTGCTGCTCAAGCATCTGCCCATTTGGCCTCTGACCAAGTAAGTACCCTTTTTTAAAAATGTATATCTATCCTGCCTGACAACTGCATTCGCTGCCCTCCTTCTTAAACTTCCCTTGTCACAGCCACCAATATTTATGTGAATGGAGCTGCTATGATTCCCTGAACCGCCCTCTTTGGTATTTACCAGCTGAGGATAGTGTTGTGAAATAAAAACCATACGAGGGGCGATAAGTATTCTGCATGTGCACTGTACTCTGCTATAATGAATTAATCTTCGAAAAAATATATCAATATAGTGTAATCTGTTTTTGAGTATCAAACAGTGTCATGTGTGTATGGGTACTTGACTAAATAAATGTGCAATTAAAAGTCGACTATTGTATATCACTTTATTTTTATCGATAATATTGATAAAGAGAGGGGTCCCTTTTTATTCACTTGTGCCCTACCCGCTCCCAAAAGAAATGTGTGTGCACGGCCCTCTGCATGTATTACATGCATGTATTATGTGCTTGGATTATACCAATCAGATTCCATTAGGCAGTAAAACACAGAGACAGACAGCAGGTGGATGTTAAGGCCTAATCCAAATCGATAACTGTTTTATTTTGAAAATCTTAACCGGAATTCCTGCGTTAGCCTCCTCTAACCTGACAGGAGGGTTCAGATTGACGGTGTCAGCCTCAGACAGGTGGAGGAGACGTCCTCCAGCACCGTGGTGGCTGTGGACCGGGCAGGACTGGGCTGGGGCTGCAGGAGCGGTGGCCGCTGTCCGGTGCTCGGATCCTCCTGCAGCCGCTGGATTCACAGTATGAGAGCAGATCCGTCCCAAAACATGCAGATTCTCCTGAGCCTCCACACGCTGGACACTTCACTGTGGACGCGGGGAGGACGAGGGATGTAGCTGCTGTGGATTAACGAGGAGCACACATGGACACATGGTTTTTCTATTTATTCTCTCTGCTGAGATTATTGACCTGTGATCTTTAACCACCCTCGCCCCGGCCATGGAGAACCAAGCAGCCGAGCCGCAGAGCTACGAGGACGTGCAGAAGAGCGGGTACCTCCGCAAGCACAAATCAATGCACCGGCGCTTCTTCGTGCTCAGGGCGGCCTCGGAGCACGGTCCTGCTCGGCTCGAGTACTACGAGAACGAGAAGAAATTCCGCAGCAAATCGCCCGTGCCCAAGAAAGTCCTGAGCCTGGAGACTTGCTTCAACATCAACAAGCGGGCGGATTCCAAGAACAAGCACATGATCGTGCTCTACACCCGCAGCGAGAGCTTCGCCATCGCCGCAGACAGCGAGGAGGCGCAGAACGAGTGGTACCAGGCGATGCTGGACCTCCAGTGCGACTGTAAGATGCTCGTGTCTGTCCCCGCATCCGGCCTGTCCTGACCCCGGGCTGGTTGTTCTCCACACACTCTGTTTGGCGCGGCCATTCCCGATTGTTCCCCCTTAACCACTGACTCGAATTGTTCTGATTAATGTTCTGCAGATGGTTTTATTGTGATGATTTGAGTTGATGCATCTCAGTGGTGCAGTTCGGGTGGTGTGTGTGTGTGTGTGTGTGTGTGTGTGTGTGTGTGTGTTTTCCACCCAGAGGCAGGTGCACTAGATGGTGATGATGGTGACGAGCAACACGATGGGCGGCATGTGCTGTGTTTGTGCAGCACATTCCCAATACGCGCTGGTTTGATACAGTCAAAACCTGCTGGTCGTTTTTCGTCTGCAAAAAAGCATTCGGGTGCATCGAAAACAGCATCCACGTGCACTTATGTGTGCACGATCGCCCTTTTCGGAGTGAAACGCAGCCCGCTTCATACGACGGTGTGTTTTTGCATGGCGCAGTGGGCATATAGCAACCATCCAAGGGACGCATCATATAGTAGTAGCCTATCGCCGCGCACTCCGCTGCAGCCCGTGTTTTTGTTTTTCTGCACAGCTCCGACTGCCGCTCGCCTAACCTACATTTGTGCTGCTGGCAGGGAGGAGACGGCATCATCCGTGCGCCCTCACTGGAAAATGTGTTTCTGCTGGGTATCCTCGTGTTTACGTTGTTACATATCCTTCGTGCTGGAGCCGAACACGGCCACCCACCCTCCCTGTTGTGCTCCTCAGTCAGTTGAGATTGATGGGTTTGCCCAGCTCCAGTGTTGTCACGCTGTAGACTTTTAAAATAGATGCACACATTGGAGTGCAGAGCCCATTTTGTTGAGATGATGTTTCAGGGACAGCCACAGTGAAAAAACAACAACACTGCTCTTAAGTGTATATCTGTTCATGGTGTGCACACACTGACGTGGAAATGGAGATCGACACATATTAAAATATAGGTTATACGTGGAGATCATTTTTAATGAATTCAATATTTTTCATGAGAAAAAAACAGATGTGCAGTGCAGTGGCGGATCTAGGGATTTTCAACAGGGGCCGTAAAGGGGCCAAAATGTACACAGTCCAAGCACAATTCCTGATTCAGTAAGGTGCACATTTAAGTCGTTCCTTGTTCACTGTTAAATCTATAACTCTGAGCAAAGCCACACATCATTGTGTATATATATGTTTAACATTCCTTGTTCAAGCACATTGTGTACTTCAAAAAAATGTTTGAGTTCTTAGCATATTACCATATTCATTGTTAGTAATGTTAGTAAGTGACCAGTTATCTAAGGGGCGCTTCAAGGGTCAATACATTTTCAGCTGGGGCCAGTGCCCTCCTGGCTGTGTCCCTGGATCCGCCCCTGGTTTACTGAACATAACAGTGGCTGTTGTTAAGTTGAAAATATATAACTGTAATTTTTCATGTGATCAGCACTGAACAGAGATGCTGCATTGTTTTAGAATTCAAGTGTGGAGTTTTTTCTCAGTAGATGTATTCTATACCTCCAAAGACTTAATTAGTTATAGAGCTGTAGCTTGAGAGTGATGGTGATGAATTAGCTGCAGCACAGCTGCTTGGCAGACACAACACACATCATTGTATGTAGCAATTTAGTAATGATAGGGAAACAAAGTATTACTCATTAGTGTCACCTGCACTGCTTTGCTATTTTAGCTATGATTAATATTACAACAGGTTATATATGTTTTATTTTTCCTGATGTATGTGTGATGTCATGTAGTTTTTATTCATTTATTCTTTCTTGTCTTCCCAGGTAAAACTCCTGAAGACTATGGCAGTAGTGGAGAGTGTAGCTCTCCATCTCCTGTTCCAACATTCAAGGAAGTGTGGCAGGTCAAGGTTTGGCCTAAAGGTCTTGGACACGCCAGGAACTTGGTGGGCATTTACCGGCTGTGCCTAACCGACAAAACAGTCAACTTTGTCAAACTTAACTCGGATGTGGCCGCTGTGGTGTTGCAGCTGATGAATGTTCGCAGGTGTGGCCATTCAGAGAACTTTTTCTTCATCGAGGTGGGTCGCTCAGCGATTACCGGGCCTGGAGAGTTCTGGATGCAGGTGGATGACTCCGTCGTGGCCCAGAACATGCATGAGACCCTGCTGGAGGCCATGAAGGCCCTTAGTGAGGAGTTCCGTCAGAGGAGTAAATCTCAGTCTGTAGGAACGTCATGCGGAGGTGGTACCGCCTCAAACCCCATCAGTGTCCCGAGCCGTCGTCATCATCCAAATCTGCCGCCAAGCCAGGTGGGCTTCTCCAGACGAGCACGCACAGAGACCCCAGGAGGCAGCAGCACGAGCACTTCACCGACATCACGTCACGGGTTTCCGAGGGCGCGAACAGCCAGCATCGGAGCAAGGTCGGAGGAGGGTGGAGCAAGTGCCAAAGGGACATGGGCCAGTTCCAGTCCAAGTCTTAATGGATCCTGCTCTACTACGCCAACGCTGAGGCCAAAACCCACCAGGGCCCCAACCCCTGCTAAGATTACCCTCAGCCTCGCACGTTACACGCCCAACCCTGCTCCCTCACCCGCACCAAGTTTGTCCTCCAGCTCTGGTCATGGTTCAGAGTGTGGCTTGGTGGGGGCAGCAGTGGGAGGCATTACGGTCTGCTCCTACCCTCGTGTTTCTCAGAGAGTCTCTGTTTCAGGCTCCCCGAGCGACTATGGCTCCTCAGATGAGTATGGTTCCAGTCCTGGGGAACATTCTCTGCTTGTACCCAGTCTGTCTGGACATCATGCACATGGAGAAGGCCCCTCCAGCTATATAGTCATGGGACAGCGAGAGGGTCTCCTCGGTTCCCACCATCGTTCCAAAGGGCGACGGATTCTGCGGCGCTCATCCAGTCGGGAATCTGAGGCAGAACGCAGACTACTAAGTAAGAGGGCGTCCCTGCCTTTGGCGGCCCATGAACGGCTGACTCCACACAGAAAAGATGAAGATGATGAAGATGATGAAGATTATGCCATCATGTCACAGAGTGCTAACAGGCAGAGAGCTGATTTGCACCATGCCTCAGGGGGGCTGGCAGGTGGGGGTGGGCAGCGTGATGTCATAGGGGAGAATAGGAAGAGGGCTGACAAAAGCAGGAGAGAGGTAGATGTAAGAGGAGCTGTGGATAGTGGCTACATGTCAATGCTGCCTGGAGTGACTTCTCCTCCTGTGTCACTTCCCCTCTCAATAGGTATGTCTGACTCCAGTGCTAAACCTGGGGCAGATGATGAGTACATGGCTATGACCCCCAACAACAGTTTGTCCCCTCCTCAGCACATCCGCCAGCCCAGCTCAGAAGGCTACATGGTCATGTCCCCCAACAGCAGCAGTTCCACAGACCTGCATGGCCTGGGCATGTGGGATAGCAGGGTCAGCATGGAGAGCCGGGCTGCCAGTGACTACATGAACATCTCACCTGTCAGCAGCCGCTCTGCCTGCAGCACACCACCGTCTCACCCTGAGCAGCACCAGCTGCAACCAAAAATGTTCAATTCTTATTTCTCCCTGCCACGAGCTTATCAACACACTCTCTATACTCGCTTTGAGGACGACTTGAACAAAGGGGAAGGAAAAAAGGACAGCAGTGGGCATGTTGGTGCTGGAAGGGAAGGGGGAGTGGGATACAGCAAGAGAAACAAAATTGCAGTGGGCTCTGCAGGAGGCTGCCAACTCTCCATGTCTTCCTCTTCTTTCTCCTCCAGCTCAGCCAGCAGTGAAAGCCTGGAAGACAAGTCCATATCAGCAGGCAGAGGGTTAAGTTTATTAAGAACTGGCGCAGAGTACATGAGTGCAGGAATATGCACAAAAGATGGACGTCACCAGCAAAAGCGTGGATCAAGTAGTAAGAGCCCAAAGCAGCAAAGGAAGGGTCGCCCCCTCAGTGTGTCCTCAGACATTGCTAAAGCAAACACGCTGCCCAGGGTGAAGGAGAATCTGCCTCCATCAGTGTCTCAAAATGTCGGTGAGTATGTCAGTATTGTCTACAAGGAGAAGAATAAGTATGATGGAGGACACAGACAACCGGTGATCCATGGAACCCTCCGGCCTGTGAATCAACCACTTCCCTGTCACAATAATCCTGCTAACCTTCCCCGTAGCTACTCGGCACCGCTGTCCACCTCTGCCGAATACGTCAGCATGGACTTAGGGAAGTCCTCAACACCCCTGACTCCTATTAGGTCCACATTCAGAAACCCACAGGGCCCACCAACTGTTGTCCCAAAGGCCCCACATGAACGTGGCACACCCTCTTCTCTGGCAGCAGAGGGCAAAACCGGGTACAGAACAAAAGTAAAGATGGCAGTGATGCCAACAGATGCCCCATTTATAGACAACAAAGGTTCAGATCCCAGCATTTCAGCAAGATCTGCCGTGCACTCTGGTCAACCCTTGTCCAGGGAGCAGGAGACAGGTTTGGGTTTCTCCCCAGTCAAGTCCTTCCAGTCTCCTGAGCGGAACAGCAGCCGACTGGTCCGAGGTGACCCACAGGGACGGTGGAGTCACCGCTCAGAGACATTCAACTCACCTCCCTCTCTACCACGCCACCCACCCTCTTCTACCTCCCTCTTCACGGAGGGCAGCCAGGCAGCAAGCCATCGGCATGGCTTGGACTGCTCACTGTGGGAGAACGGACAGGCATCAAGTTTGTCTGCCACGCCTCCACCACAAGCCTCCACCTCATCCACTGAACAAGGCCTTAACTACATTGACCTTGACTTGGCCATTAAGGAGAGTCCTCAAGCTGGAGTGGAGCGCACCTCTGCCGCCTACAACATCGGAGGGGGCGCTATGGGTAGCAGTGCTGGCTCCAGCCTCAACACATATGCCAGTATTGATTTCTACAAGTCAGAAGAACTGAGAGCACACCAGAGCAGTAGAAAGGATGGTCAAGGTAAGCGCTACTGGGAGTTCAAGCCCTTCTCATGGGGAACATGTTGATCATAACATTTTTCATCTGACTAAGATTTATCAAATATTGTGCTGATGATTCTAAGATATCATCTTTTATGATATTATTGGGTGAGACATCTTTCATAATGTTGCAGTGTCTGCAGCAGCACCTTCATTTGTTCTACTTGTCAACAGTGACATTATTGGTGTGAGCTTTGGCCTCACACCTCAGTTGATACGGCACAAATGACCATGTTTTTAGCACAACTTATAATCTTTCAACATAGCGGTTGAAAACATAATCACATCATTGAAGGAAATATTTAAAACATGATAGATTTGATTCTGATGTGAAAAACTGAAAGGTTACATGAGGAAAAAACAGCCATTTGTCAACAACCAGATAGATTCAAGTGGAATAAGATTGTTTAACCCTGATTGTTGTTTAAAACCAATTGAAAAGATTTAGGACAACAGATGTTTGCCTCTTGGCATTGCCTTAAATGACATAATTCGGTTGACATTTTATTTGATTAGTTAATCAGTTGATTTTACTGTACTATTTCGATAATCAATACATTATTACATTTTTCATGCAAAATCTCTTTTTAGTCTTTTAAATGTGATGATTTTTTAACTGTAATGTCTTACATTTCTTGAACTGATAGTCACATAAACAAATGATTCGAAAAAAAGGTCACCTTATACTGTTATAAAAGGGCTTTTTCTTTCATTTTATGGAACAGTTAATTCCTTGATCAATTAACCTTTAAGAAAATAAGTAAAAGAAATACTTGGAAATGGGTGATAGGAAAAAAAAGGATAATTCCTGATAATATTTGTGGCGCTGGGTGTAAGCTTTAGATGTGATGTGCATAATCCACAGACAGAACTCTGTCTGGCTCTTAGTCACTCCTCCCCTCTTTCATCCTTTACTGACGTGTACCTTTGCTTCGAGCTGGTGGGCAGCGCCACACTTTCCAGGCTGTGGGTTGTCTGCAGAGTCTCTTATTATCACAAGTGGGTGTTCAGAGAGCAAAGCCAATTGATTTGTCTGCTGGTAATGAGCCATTTTACATAAATGGAGGAATATGGGCCAGGTGTTTATGTTGTATGTGTGGGCGCGCTGTCGGCTGCAGGATTTCAAACGGCAGCTCTAAGGTTTCCCCTCACATTGCACTGATACTGACAGTTGTTAATGTGGTGGCTGAAGCACATTTTGATGGAAATGCATATACAAGCCATTGCTTTTTTACATGTGGAGAAATAAAAGGCCATGCTATAGGCAGTATATTAAAATGTTAATACACAGGTAAATATGAATAGTAATCAGAGGACTCAGTGGAACAAACAACTCATGCAGCTTATTTATTCGAAGCACCTACGACATTTGCATGATTGATTCATCTAATGCTTTCCGGTCTCTACGTGCACATGTGTAATCATCATGATTGCCTTATTATTGTAATTGGGAGATAGTTTATGTATGAATTTAATGTGAATAGTGAGGGAGAAAGGCCTCATTAATATTCTGTAATGACTTTTTCATCAAATTTTTCACACTGAGATTAATGATTGAATGTTTCCCTTCCTCTTATAAGATACAGTGTTTATGCCACTGTCATTATCTGCAGCGTTATTCTAATAATGGGACTTGTATATGAAGGCTGGAAATCAACAAGATGGTGGATGTGCTTAAGATTCTAAAATCTCAGGCTTGATTGTTTGACGTCCAATCGACACTCAAATATCAATAATTCGATTTTTCATCAGACCTCAAATTTCAATGTTTATGAAAATCTCAGAATCAGATTAAGAGATCTGTGTGTATTATGATAATAATTATGAATTTATTGTGTTCTTGAAAACATAGCTGGCTTTTTGGTTCTTTGACTCTAGCCACACTGAATTCAGTAATGTATCCAACGTTTTTAAATAATAATAATGATAATAATAATTTATTTCATGGCTCCTTTCTAGTCACTGGAGAACAACTTACAATAGATCATAAATAAACACATGATTAATTAAAGTAAAACCAAGGTTAAAATCATGCATAGACACCTAACACTAATTAGTTTATTAATAACAAATAGTTAGTTTTACTTGAGCCATTTAGACTAAAGTGAGTAGTTATCAGTGGACAACACTTGTTCTAACACAGAGAAACTTCGTAAACACTTTTGAGAATATGAGCTATCTGTTTGCAGCGATCATCTTTCTTTAAAAGGGTATGACATATAACAATAAATACGGCGACCAGTCCAGGGTTCACGCTGCCTTCCACTGGGATTGGTTCCAGCCTTCCCCCCAACAACACTCACAGGATGAGCGGTATAGATAATGGATGGATGAATACAGTCTCAACACAAGTTGACATAGAGTAGGTGCACTCAGCTTTATTATTCAGCACACCTTGCGAAAACTAATGCAGTCTAATAAAGAGGCCCTGCAGTAAATCCTGGACCATGAAGGTTTAATGGGCAGTTTTTATTGAAACTATATTAAAAAGGTGTTGACTCAACTATATGGTCATTTTGGGGGACGTGGCTTTTGCAGCTGTTTACTTTATTATTGAGGTGTTTCAGTTTACTCTGCCTTTAATGATTTAAATGTGGTTGATAAAATCATAAGGACAACTGACAGTGCTCTGATTTTACACAGTATTGTAAACATCCAGTGTTGTAGTTGCAGAGCATGACTCTGAAGCTGTGAACTGTGAGTTTATCCTTCACATGTGAAGAACACAGCAGGAGATTGTCCCCGTCAGACATGTTCACATCAACAGGAGAATATCAGGAAGGCCAGGGTGGTGCCTGGGTAGAGCATGCAGGGGGCAGGAACGTGACGGTCTTAGTCAAAAGCTCTCAAATCTCGTTGTCTTTCCCAGTTGATATCTATCCTCTTTTTCATCCTAAGAACAACGCGCCCACTCACTCGTGGGGAATTTTCCAGACATTTTCCTGCTGCATTCTCTGAAGGGCTGACATTTTGCAGACATTTTTCCAAGGAGCAAGCAGGAAAATGTCTGAAGCAACAGACTCTGACTTTTGAGTTCTCACACACAGTCCATCCAGAACATTACAGGAAACTCTCTTGACTTTGGTGCATGTCTGAAAGCAGCATGAGAGTGGTTGGAGGTAGTGGTCAGACTGACTCAGAGACAGTCAGGTTGATATATTGGCACTCCAGTCTGATGAACATATGATAAATGAGGTTATACTTTAAAAGGTAATCACGCTCCTCTGCAATCCACATGAGAGCAAAAAATAATAAAATCTTCGCAATCGCAAACTGACAAATACGATGCTCTGATGTTCGCTCGCTGCCTCTGACTTGATTTTGCTGACGCGATCAGAACTTGAGTTGCACTGAGCTCTTTGTGTAGTGTCAGGGGATCGTTAAACAGAAGAAAGTTCAAAATCCCTGGAAGTGATAAGACAACACACATAATATTGATGTCTGCAACAATTCAGTGCATGAGACTGCAAAGAGAAAATCCTCTAAGAGGGATATGAAGTGTCATGTGATATTTACCCAAACAGTCAGCAGGAGCTCCAGATATCAGAATCTGCACTTATAACTTCAGTAACAAAAAATAGATTAACTGTATATTATAATGTAAAAAAAATATTTTTTAAAGAACATTCTGAGCAAAATGTGTGATTCTAATTTTTTTTCTCCTTCCAGATTGTTGATCATCATTGTCATGGATCTGAGTGACTGCTCCACGCTCACTCTGTGAGGGGACTCTCGGTGTTGGAGGCCCGACCTGTTGCCATAACAGAGCGGGACACTGAAGTCTTAACACTGAAACCATGGAAAACGCATCCCCATCCTGTCTGCTGTTTTCTGTCAACCAAATGTGTGCCAAACACACACACACACACACCACACGACACATGACACACACCCACATGGTAACGAAAAGGTTATTTTGCCTTGTTTTGAACAAAAGTGACATTTGATCATCATTTAATTTCAATAGATAAAGGATGACAGTTCAAAATGAAATTGTGCGAGTTCTCAGGTGGCCATTACGCTGATCATGGCAGCCTGTCACATCCTGAGTAGATGGAGGTATGTGCTCTGTCACTGAGTAGAGCACATACCTCCACCAAGGCCCAGCAGCCCCAGTCCTTAAATTCAATCATGCTTCACCACATTACACAAACTAATTGATATCAGTTCCATAAGTATTTTCATTAAGATCTCTGCATTATTTCTTGACAAATCCGCAAAAATGTTGAAAAAAAACCTAAATTGAACCTGCTCTAAAAGTTAATGGGTTCTTTCTTGGCCCGTTCAACACATTTCAATAAAATCTATTCAGATAAACGGGAAAACCAAACCTCCTCAGCAGAGGGAATAATCATAGATCAACAAGGTTCAGGAAGTCACACAATTGGCAAAAATCTGTGAATCACAAACACATTTGCGCTTGTTACTAGTACACGAGCCATTTTTTTCATATCTTTTGACTCAAAGCTCAAAATGGCAGGTAGCATTTATGCCACGTTATCCTTTGTCTGTATTTAAAGTCAAATGCTCATCAGGTGTCACTTTGACTCCAAATAAGAGGAGAATGCAGCTTTGTTTGAGGTTTCATCCACTCACACGTGCTCTGTCACTGTAAACATACAGTATTTGATTGGTTGCATACAGTTGCCCAAAAAAGCCTTTATACTTCTTGACCACCTTTACTGTGCTACTGAAGGACTTCAAAGTGTGCTTAATGTCTGAGGTACGATTTAATGACATATATGATGTGAATTCAATGAAGATATAGTTTCCGTGTTTATAGTCACAAAGAAGAAAAATGATAAAAAATTCCGAAAACTTATGCAGAAGTTAGGTGTACATTTTCAGGTCATAATTTATTTTCAAATCAAATCATGTTTATTTATGAAAGACATTTAAAAAAACCAGAGTTGAACAAAGGGCAGTACGATAAAAACAGAGATAATTCAATTCAGTTCTAAAAAGTGGATAAAAAGAATTAAGGACAATTCAAAGTCTGACAAAGCCTGAGTTTAACTTTGTTTAATGGAAGGGGAACATTTATTTGTAAGAGTTTGGGGGCAGATACAGTAAACTCGAGATCACCTTTACCCTTTAGACGGGAGCAGCTGGTCAGAGGATCTGAGGGATCTAGGAGTGGAAACAGGTCAGAGAAGCCCTGAGATGTCCTGGAAGGGCATAGGGTCATTAAAAGCTTTAAAAACAAATACAAGAAGCTTACGTCGAGAGATGCATGTGTGAGATGCTGCCCTTTCTTCCTGTTAATAGTTAGAAGTATGTCGGAAGTGAGAAGGTCCAGTCTGTGTAGTCAGTTGGATTTTAATCTCAAACTACAGCCCACTTACAAAACTACACATCATTTCTAGTAATATGAGACTAGACAATAAACAGTATTTTATTTTTGTTTGATTATATCTCATATTAATGCATTTTGAAGAATCAGTTGCACAAACCCCTTTGAAAAAAGAGTGTAAATACTTTTTTGGCAACTGTGCTTTTCTATTCTAACTGTATATGATGCTATAGTTTATACTATAGTACACAAGTAGAAGGACAGAAACTATAGTGCATACTGCAGGTTGTTTCCTCAGTTGCACAACAGTGAACACAACTCTGATATAAAGTGACACATTACAATGGTATATAAGGTATACAGTATACATATAATGATTAATACTATATAGCCTAGATATCTATATACTCTTTTATAAAGTGCCTCATTTTTGATTGTAGCTGTTTTTACACAGGTAATCTGAAAATGGGTTGTGAAAATGGATAAAAAAGGAGTGTTGTTTCTCTCTCGAGTCAAAATCCTGCATACGTTCAAACTTTTCAGAAGACAGACTGCAAACTTCTACTGCTATCAGTCAACCATGATCAAATTGCCTTACTTATCAGAAACCGGAAAAAAAAAAATCTCATTATTTTTTGCAGTGCCTAACACTTCAGCCACAATGTAAGCACTCCCTCACTCTTCTGTTTGGCTTTATCAAGCTGAGGTTCGAGCAGCCAACAAAAAAATATAATAAATCATAAAAAAAAGAAGAAAAAAACAAAGCAAAGAAAAAACCCATCTATTTCTGTTTCATGCTCTGGGACGTCCTCCTCTTCAGGCCCCACAGTCCTGACTGTCAGCTGATGGCCTGTCGCAGATTCTCCATCTTAAGCTGAGTGTTTGTCGACACTGTGCAGCCGAAAGCTTGCAGGAAAAAAAAAACATGAGGATTCTACATTGTACAGATTTTAAATCAAATTTTTAAGGACTTCCTGCATTTTAACTTTCCCTCTTCTTAGAGCAAGAAGAAATAAATACAGTTACAAAAAATACAGTTAAAACAGGATCTTACTTAGTTTTAGACTGAAAATCAAAACATTTGCACTAATTTATTGAGGTTTGCAAGATATTTCGAACCCAAAACAAATACCGACTCCTCCCTCAGTGCTTATCTGGGCTAAAACAGCATTAACACACTTGAGAGTTGCTCTTATTATTTAGATGTGAATCATCGAGAAGTGGATTCGGTTCCCAGGAGGTGTGAATAGTTCTTCTTCTCTCTGTGACTTTCTTTTTCTCCCTGCACTCAAACATAGGACTTGCTTTAAACTATGAGCCAGTGTCACTCCAGCTCACACTTATTTCGAAACAAATTGCCAAAAGCTACCAGGTCTAACAACAATTCATTCAAGTATACTGTAAGTAGAACGGCACTCAGAGAGCATTCACCTCCGCCAAGGCCCCACAGTCTCCTCATGAAACCACTAGATCTGGATTCTTTATTTGATCTGCACCAAATTGCTTATGCTCGTAAATATCAGTCCCCTAAACATGCCTGATCCATAAATCAAGGAAAATGTCGAAAACACCTTATCTCATAAAAATTATCCTGATCTGCACCAAAATTGAATGCCTTGTTTAATGTTCCAACCTGCGTAATCCTGCAAATTTACACACAAACAAACTAGAATGGCAATCAGTGCATAACTCTAACAAGGCCCAACAGTTCCCTTAAATTAAATCAAGCTGTACCAAATTTTACACAGTCAGTTCCCTAAATTTCCTTGATTTTTCTACCTCGGGATCCATGACTTATTCTCTTAACAAAGGGGAAAAGATTCCTGAATCCGTCCCTTGATCCGGATCCACACCAAAATTTATCAGGTTCTCCCCTGACCCATATCACGTCCTTCAATTAAGCTTCATGGAAATCTGTCCTCCTTGGTGGAGTTAGACTATTTGCAAAGAGTAGACACACAAACTTTATTTAAAATTGATAAATAAAACCTTGGTTTTCATTTGATCGCCTCTGGGCCGAAATATGAGTTGTTAAAAGTCAGACTGTTCTTTAAGCAAGCAGTGTTTTTTCTTGAGGTGGTGTAACTTATAGTTTAAGACTGGTTGGGTACTGTATCCAGAGCCGCTGATGGACATTGGTGAATCAACAGGTGTTGGTAGCGAATATAAAAAAAGAAAATGTCTACTGGATGTGGTTTTGGTGCCAAACGTTTTTTCACAAATCGCTGTGACCAAACTCGTCAGTCCAGGGCTCTGGCTGCACGTATACAGGGTACAAAGAATGAAGGCTTTCTTGATGTGTTTTTCAAACCGGTAGCTTTTCCCACATTTAGATTAGAATTTCCTGGTTTCTGTTCCACCGGTCGAATCATTTTGACCCCGGTTGCAGATGCATATTAGATGCTCAACTCGCCTGCATGCTGTTACAAGTGAAAACCAATTTGAGCGTTTGAACCCTGAAGGTAAAAAAAAAAAAAAGACCCAGATATTTACTGTGCTCAGTCCAGAGGTTCCTCTGTGACTGATCCAGCCCTCGACTCACATCTGAAAGTGCCTGGCTGTGATTACTGGTGTCATGATTCAGTTACGTTTCCATCATACCAGCTCCTGGAGAACCAAGTCTTCCACACACTTCTTTAGTATTCAGATGGAGAGATGTGCCCAACACCCGGCCAACATCTCCAATGTACAGGACGTGTTTCTGGTGCCAAAGTTTTTACATATACAGTCTGTGAATGAGACATGTGACCACACAGGACTGAGGAGTGTTGACACACACTAACACAAACTTTAATCTGGTTTTTACACATTTTGTCTGGCGCTTACATGTCACTGTTTTTAATCTTATGAAGTAAAAATGTATAGTGTTCGAGCACAGCCCACTACTGCCAACAGTTTGTGCTCAGTACTGAGAGCCTTGTTTCCAAACTCTTGTATAACAAATCCATACGTGGACTGGTTCCACTTTTCTGAATCTTGGACTCTTTTGTTAAAGTGATCTTTTATAATCTCTTTGTTATTCCGTCAGTGTCGCTCTTCTTATTGGGGATTGCCGAGATTCTCTGACTGTACCTCATAATCTCAAGTCCGAGCAGACATAACAGTTGGTCCCAAAGCCCCTCGGAGATTCTGAGAAGGGTTCAGGATATTAATGACGCCACACAGGGAGGAAGGCACCAAATCAAAGCTGTGGAGTTTCTTGGGGGGGTAAATATCATTCAGTGTGTTGTGTATTCAGAACTACTTTAACAGCGTGAAGCTCTCTGCATGCGTTTCCATCCTCATGACACGCAGGAAAATGCTTCTCGCTTTATGAATCATCAGAATCCTGCCGAGCATTTAGGTTTGATGACACAGAGAGAGACTTGCGTCTTCTCCTCAGAACATTTTGTAACGCGTCGTTCAAAACGAGGCATGTAAATTTGCTCAACAGGCTCTAACTGTGGGAAATGATACTGTATGTACAATCAGGATAGCTATTATAATTACAATGGAAAGATGTATTTTAAAGCTATTGATACTTTGATAATGATGTAAAATGTAAAAAGACTGAACAGGAACTATCGGGTTGTAAAGTATACTGTGTATAGAGGAGTTAGCTCCAGGGGAGGGTCGGGCATGGGGTTCATTCTGTTCATGGCAAAAATGGTTTAACACAGAATATTGATGATTCTTGTCTGTGATGTAGACAACGTCAATGTTTTTGTTTGTTTTTTTGATAAAAGGAAAAACTGATATGAAAAAAAGAGGAAATCTGAGTCTTTTGTTGACTGTGTGTCTGTTGAACTTACAAGTATGAGGTGATGAGGTGTTAAAACGTGAAGTCAACTGAGTCTAGACCGCTGTAAGCCATCGCTGGTCTGAGTTTGTAAGGATAAGCCTGTGGACAGAGGGTGCACGTGTTTAATCCCCTGCCACTCTGTTTAGACAGATGGTATTTTGGCAGCATTTCAGTTCACAGGTGAAAAACAACAAAGTGGCTTTTTGTTATTCTGTATATTTAATCAGAAATGTAAAGGTGAACACAGTAAAACACGAGGAACAAAGACCTGGTGAACGAGTATTTGCAGTCATCTATCAATTAGGGCTGGGCCATAAAACAATGAATGGAATGAAAAGGATTTTTGCAATCTAATTTTAATTTCATCTATAGCAACAAAACAACGGTTATATATTGAGGAGATAAAACATTATTGGTCACCCTTCAAATTTGTAAAATGTTTTTCAAGTTTTTGTCATTCTCTGTCCTTAAAGGTTCAGTGTGTGGAATATAGTGACATCTAGTGGTAAAAACAAAAGGTGTTTAGTTTGTCCAATATTGACGACTGTAAAAAACATTGCAGGCTCTGTAGAGAGGACCCTCTCCAGATATAAATATAAAGCATTTAAATATAAAGGGCCCATTCCAAGGTAAAGAAAACAACAATTTGTACAATTTAGATGAAACACACTGGTGAAAACATGACCAGGATTATTTTATATTGAATTCCTGCCAATAGATCCCTTCCACCTAAATCTTACACACTGGACCTTTAAAGAACCTTCACTTGTAAATGTGTTTAATGTGATAATTATCTATATCGACTGACACTTACATCTTCATATCGATATAAGTTTAAGTCTCTCAGCCCTAATTAGTCAAACTAAAACAAATCGTTTTCATCTGTCTATATGATTGATTTCAAAGAGTACAAACACATTTTCATTATCGGTGCCTTTCTGTTTTCACACAAACAGCATAGAAACAAAAGAGAGATCAGATTTATAATATAATAATAGTTATAAACTTTTCATATATTGCACCATTCAAAACACAGTAACAGGTGCTTTATGAGTTAGAATTTAAAAGTTGAAGGCAAACAACAAGACAATATATATGTGTATTGTTTTATTTGATCTTGTTTTACTCTTCCCGTTTTATTTTGTATTTGTGCTCTGATTCTGTGTCATAATCGCAAAAATATCAACAGTTGAAAAGACAGTAAAAGAAAGATTAACAACTTCATTAGGGAACAAAACAAATTTGGGTTGGTTCATTCAAATTATATATAGATACAGATTGTTAATATGTGGTGGAGATAAATAGCAGGGGAGGTAGGATTAAAGGAGTGCGAGGAAAAAGCCTTTCATTGATCAGCTGTTTTGACCTTTGTCAGCCTCATCATTCACATTCACGTCACCAGTTGAGCTACTTTCGACATTTTGGTAATTGACACACAGCAATACTGTGAAGGTCTTTACAAGCTGAGCAGAGACAACAGACTTGCAAAAACCCTGAAGCTGCAGAAGGAGGTCTGGATTTAACACGTTGATCTATTTGACTTAAGAAGAGTCAATTCAAATGCACAGCAAACCTCTGCACCAGGGAAAAGATGGTATCAGCTCCAGCATGTCGCACGAATGACAGAGCACTTGAAGCAACATTAACATTGTTAAACATGATATGATGTACGGGAGTAATCCTGTAGATATGGAAGCAGTCAGTTAAAGTACTATAATGAAATCAGGTAAATATTAATTTAGTCCATCAGGCTACAGACACATGGCATTAACATCACAGTCAGGAAAGATTCTCTCATTTCCTAAAGAGAGTAAAGATCGATAACAAGTCAAGGACGCTCAAACTGATAAAGAAATGGTAATTGAATTTTTCACGTTTGATACATTCCTCCCATGCACAGGTCAATTTATTAACAGACTGAGTAAATGTTTATGTGTCATGGTGCTCTCTCTCTCTCTCTCTCTCTCTCTCTCTCTGACTCTATGATTCTCTCACTCTCTCTCTGTCTCTCTGACTCTCTGAATCACTTTCTCTCTCTCTCTCTCTCTCTCTCTCTGTCTCTTGGCAACTTACACCCAACAGCAATAATAGATTCTACAAATGTACACACTTCAGTCCAGTAGGTGGCTGTACTGCACCTATAAGATGATTTACCAACAACCACTGAAACTTGAAGAAGAAGAAGAAGCGGCGGAGAGGGAAGAGGAGGAGGAGGAGGAGGATGGAGAAATCCAGCTGCAGCGGGGATGTGAAGGAGAGACAACCGAGAACTAAAAAATACATTTTATTTGTATTTTGTTATTCATTATTTTTTCTTATTTTAATGATAATAATAATAATTATTATGCTATGATTTCAATGCCTTGATATTTGTACGTTTCAAGTTTTTTAATAAAAAAAAAACAACAACCTCGCAAACCGGAAGCGTCAACATAGATCCTACATTGAAAGAAGAAATAAAGATATCACATATAAAACTACTACATAAACAAAAATCAATATTCGATATCGATATTTATTAGTAACCTATGTCGCACCAGTCTATTGTATAGAAATGTTAATTAGAGTATCAGAAAGACTCTTAACGCAAAAGTGAGTTTGACACCTGGAATTTCACGCAGAGTGACACCTCTCGCTTCTCCCTGTCCTCTCCTCTCGTCCAATCACAGGCGGCCGAGCCTTCATCATGAGAGGAGCCGGGCTGCAGATGCTGCACGTGAAATAACACGTCATATAAACCGTCTGTGTCGGTTCTGCATCTGCGTCGGTGACTTGTATTCAGTCTGTGGTCGGTGAGCATGCGGACAGCCGAGGTTAGCATCGCCCCGCAGCAGCAGCAGCAGCTCCCTGGGTTCTGTGTGTGACTCGGATGCTCCGGATAAAGGTCTGTAAGCTAACACCGACACCACCTATGTAGCCTTTGTACTTCCATCCGCTAACGTTGCTGTTTAAAGAAACCAGCAACTTTCCAGACGCTCCCCACCTTCACCTCAGAGTGCTGTTAGCATGCTACATGTCTCTTCAAGGGAAACGCTGCTTGACCTTGTCCCCTCATTTGCTCTGCGCAGATAACACAGGGAACTCACGTGTCCTTCAGCTGCTTCGATCGTTACACGTTTATAATGAGTGGAGATAAGAGAAGTGATCGTCAGCCTCTGGTGGTATATAACCTTTAGACAGAGGAGTGTGTCTCCAGGCAGAGACAGAGAACCTGTGTTACATCAGCAGGGACAGGAGCTCTGCACAGTCCTGTCCACCAGAGACACTGATGTTTACATTTAGTGGAAGACAAAGCTCGAAACTCACACAAGCCTATGTGTGTAAACAGAGGCTTTCTTTTTTTAGATTGGGTGACATTGTGGTTGTCATTTTGACCTCATCAACAGGCTGAGGGAACACAGTGAAGACACGTGAATAGACTTGTTCTGTTTCCTTCACTGTTGCCACTTAATGGGAACAGTATTTTGTTTAAAGCTCTGATACCAAATTTAGGGATAAAAACTAATTATATTTCAATATATCATGTCAAAGAAATGCGATTGAGGCTCAATATTTTACAGTTTAACCATAAACATTATTGTAAATAACTAAAGACAAATATAATATTAACTTTATTTGTATAGCTCCTTTCAAAACAAACACTACAAAGTTCCTCACAAAGACAACAACTGAAAACAAGAACATGCAATAACATGAGACAAGTTAAATAATACAATAATGTTTATTTAAAATGAAAGCCAGCAAAAATGTAGTACAAAATCTAAACTCTGAACTACAAATAACACTGCCATATAATTTAGAATTAATGGCAAAAGAAAGGATAAAAGTAACTTTCAAGTTCCATAGTCTTCCAGTTAATAGGTCCCCAGACATATTAACTGTCTGGGGACTATGGCTACAAATGACTGCTTTTGTTTTCTGTATGTTTATAATAATGAAAGTGCTCTGATAAGATGCAGCAGTGTATAATGTGAGTGGAGTCAGCAGGTAAACTGTGTGTAATGTGTGTGTATTATTTTTACCAGGTAGTTGATAGAAAGAGAAACCTCTTCTGACAACCTTTCTGACACCATGGCCCCACACCCGGTGGTCCAGGCCATCATTGATCTCTCTGCAGGAGCCGTAGGTAACTACAGTGCTTTGTCTCAAACACCATCAACAATATTCCATCTCTATGAAGTCATCACACTGCTTTTCTGCCACTTCACTCAACCTTTGTGTGATTCGTTTTGATGACTCCTGTCTTTTTCCGTTTTGTTTCTCTTTGGGTTTCTATAGAGTGTTTATACTGCTCAGTGACGCACAACCCTGTGTAAATCCCTCCATGATTCTTATCTCTCTCCACAGCACATACACTGATTCCTGCAGTTTGTGTAACAGCCGTTCTATTGTTTATGAATCGCCTGTTTTTTCTCTAAGGGGGAGCTGCATGTGTCTTCAGTGGGCAGCCTCTGGACACAGCAAAGGTCAAGATGCAGACCTTTCCTACGCTGTACCGGGGTTTCGTCCACTGCATCACGTCCACCTACAAACAAGTGGGTCTTCGTGGTTTCTACCAGGGCACCACGCCGGCGCTGATGGCCAACATCGCAGAGAACTCCGTGCTCTTCATGAGCTACGGCTTCTGCCAGCAGGTCATCCGCTTCACGGCTGGACTGCACAGTGAAGCTGTGCTGAGGTAGAGCGACATTAACCAGGCAGTCATTCTTGTTTGTGCTTGTTATTAAATATCAATGAATAAACGTCTTTTTCTTTAACCCTTCCCTCTCTCTGTTAGTGATGTGCAGAAAGCCTGTGCTGGCTCAGTAGCATCCATCTTCTCCTCGCTAGTACTCTGCCCCACCGAGCTTGTCAAGTGTCGGCTGCAAGCCATGTATGAAATGGAGGCATCAGGAAAGATAGCTAAAAGCCAGAAGTAAGTGATTTTTAAATAGTCATACAATAGGTCATTTAGTCTGTCATTGATTTTTTGGGTTGTTTGTTGCTGTGGGTTATTTATTATGCTGAAAAAAGACTTGCATGGTAAATAATTATTAATACAGTTATCTGATGTCATTCAAATCAAAAGTGAATGTAGTTCTGAGATTAAATAAAAGATATACACACTGCAATTTAAAAAAATTAATTAAGAGCTAAAATAAAAAATAAAAATACTGACATTCAAGAAGTCATTCTAAAAGTATTTTTGGACACATACAGATTCAGAGATGTGAAACTTAAAAAGCTTTTATTAATTTTGTGCTCTAGATCTGCTTCACGTTTACTGTTTATCTTCATCTCACAACTTTAACCATGGTTATATGGTACATTTTATGTTGTGTGTGAATTGACCGGCCCTTACTTTCCTCTCCTCTGTTAAAGCTCAGTCTGGTCTGTGGTGAAATCCATCATAAGGAACGAGGGACCGCTCGGCTTCTTCCAGGGCCTGACCACCACCATAGCCCGAGAGGTCCCTGGTTACTTCTGCTTCTTTGGCGCCTATGAGCTCTGCCGCACCACCTTCGCAGACTACATGAAATGTGACAAGGACGACATAGGTACTGAAAAATTATTCTGCCTGCTCTGAAATGGGGCGGAAAAAAACATCAAGCTCAAACGTCAGCACCTCAGAATCAAAGAGCAATATATTTTGATGGCATGCTGTTGATTGTTGGAGCAGTCAGAAAGTGGAGACATTAGAGAAGTAATTAAAAAGCATATAAAACAAATGTATTCACAAATAAATGATTGGAGAGTATGTAGAATGTTGAAATAAGGCTGAATATTTATTACCCATCCAAGCTTCTTTTTCCCATGTTAATATTTTCTTTTTAACCGTTCGACACATTTATGTAAAGACTGTGTTAACGTCCCACTTTTGTCTCCTTGTATGTTGAAGGTGTGGCTCCAATCGTGTTCAGTGGTGGTTTTGGGGGGGCCTGTCTGTGGCTGGTGGTCTACCCTATGGACTGTGTCAAATCTCGGATCCAGGTCATGTCCATGACGGGCAAACAGGCCGGGTTCTTCAAAACCTTCATGACCATCGCTCGTGGTGAAGGTGAGTAAAAGTGGGGTTTTGCTTTGTTTCATCATCTCAGTGAGATGAAAGCATGGTGAAAGCATTTTTAAATGAAAAAGCTGCTGTTGCCCGAGTCTACGGGGCTGTAACATCTGCTGTTCCTCATGTTTAGGTGTGAGGGCGCTCTACTCTGGTCTCACCCCCACCATGGTCCGCACCTTCCCTGCCAACGGTGCACTTTTCCTGGGTTACGAGGTCAGCCGGAAGCTCATGATGAAGCAGTTTGACAGCTAAAATTAAGCATGAGCACAAAGCAAATGATGGAGTGGTGAACTGGTATTACAGCCAAATAACCTCAACAGAACTCCAGTTGAAGCGTATAATGTGTGGGATGTGGTTTTTGCTGGTTCCTACTTTTTTAAACGTACCTAAAACATTTTGAAAAAAACTGACACGCTCCATGAACTGAAAATATATCTTTGACATAGTGTTTACATCTTTTAAAACCTAATATATTTTTAGATCTAAATATTCTTTTTAACACTCCTAAAATGCTACAGTAAAATGAGAAAAACCTGTACAAGGTACCAAGAAACATCAACCAGCCTCTTTATGAGGGAATGTCGACACTCCGGTTTGTTGTTTTATGTCTACCTCAACAAAGTTGTATTCGCACAGAAGTATTTATCTGCCAGTCATTAAAAATCATTCTTTACTTGCTGGGTAAGACCAGTACTCTGATTTTGAGATATCCTTGAAGGGTCCAGTGTGCAAGACTAAAGATCTACTTGCAAGAATGGTTGAGCTTTCTTTAACTTTTGTTAATCCTTAAACCCCATTTAAGATTTTAGTGAAGTAGAGTGGTGTATACTAATCCATTCAGTTTGCCAAAATTATTTTGTCATGACATGTTTGCGATTGTGGAATTATTTACAGCTTCAGAGCACAGCTTCGGACACTTGCTGATTTTTTACACTTATGATACACTTGAGTTTAATCTGCCTTGAAATAAGCCAAAATGACAACCAGCAAGTGTGAATAGTTGAGCCTAAACATGTTCATGTCACTGGTCAACTGATGAGAAATCTTGTTCTTGTGACTGTTTTTATTTCACCATGTTATAATTCCACTCGTGTTGTCACCATTGGTTCAGAAACTCAGTGTTTTGCCTTTTAAACCACTAGATTTTTCCTTTTTTGTTGTATAACCTTTATTGTTGTGTACAGATCAATGAGAGAGTCTCAGCTTCCTCATCTAATATGTCATTTGCACGCTGCATTCAATGTGCAGGATGTCATTTTGTTTTTCCTCCAGTACTTTAAATAGTCACCAGTTCAGAATTCTCAGTCATATTCCTGTAATTTTAAATGAGAAATGTAGAAAATGGCAATTTGAGAAGAACCATAGTGATTTGTATAGAGATCAATCCAATTGCTGTAATATAACCTACATTAAATACATTGCTAGAGATGAACTTTGTCCTGTATTTTATTGTTCAAGCTTTTTTTCTTTTTAAAACACCTTTTTGTGAAACAACACAAAACTTCAGAGGTTATTTTTTTTAAACCAATTTATTAAAAATTGTCCACATTCAGAATGGATTAGTTGTAACAAATTACATTTTTACAAAATACCAGAATACATTGATACATTTCTGATTTTGTGTATTGGTTAAGTTAAAAGTGAATGAATAATCATGAAAAATACACCAAAATACAAAAAGCCTTTGTCAAATAGAAATAACTACAATTTCTACGTGAGTATTTATATAAGCAGATGCAGCCAGGGAGGACCATCCTCAACCATCCAGCAGGTGGCGCCATTTGACTGTCAGGAACTCACAGTGGCTGTAAGTATTAAAAACACCAGAAAAGCCAGAGTTAGAATTCTCTAATATGATTTATTTGAGAAAATCTCTGAACTTGGATACGTCCTGTTTCTTATGAGATATCAGCTTCATCTTACTCCTTTGTTGGTGCAGGTTCCACACAGGCAGCCAAAGAGCCCATTGATCATCTGGATGGCACAGAGAATGAGCTGCAGAGCGCTGGTGGCCAGCAGAGTGCTGAACAATCCAATGTTGAACTGCACAATGTTCTTGGGCTCTGTGCAACTATCCCACCACGTGGAATCAGTCAGGTAACTCGGGTCACTATGACAAAAAATAAAATGTTTATAAAGGTTCACATCTATGGAGACGTCACATAGTCATTAGAACCTTCTGGTGTGTCACCTGTTTTTAAACGGTGTCAACCAGAGCAGCAGTACTTTGCAGAGGGGCCCGTTCTGCAGGCCGAGCACTGCCACAATGAAACTGTACAGGGCGCCGGCCACACCAACTGCAGCGAACGCAATAGATAAGAACATCTATGGGGGGGGAATGACAAACAAAGGTCAGAAATATTTCTGCTCTAATTTAAACCATTTTCCCCATCCTCCTCTTCCTCCCATCTTTTTGGATCAAGATTGTGTGGGTGTGGGGTGTGTGCTCGTGTAAGTACCCATCATTTATTTCAGTATGTTATCTTTGTAAGAAAGATGTAAATGTTGTGCAATGATTTATTGATGCAACACCATGCAGTCATAAACTTAGTCTGTCTGCCCTAAATTATACACTTAAGTTTAGTTTAAACATATATAGAAATATATATTTATATGTGTGTGTGTAATACATATATACAAACAAGTCTTTCCATCCTATTATCTCAGATTCAGTCAGCAGCATTAGGAGTGTATGTTTTCTTACAATATGGTGATAAGTTTATATTGCTAATTCAAACAACTTATTTTCACTCCTGCCTGACTCACCCCACAGCGATTCCCACAGCAGCCCTGTGTCCCAGTCAGGTGGATGTAAAGAGCTGGCAGCAACACCTGTAACATCACAGATCACATGTTCAGTTCAGTTTACTCAAATAAATTTGTGCTTTCTCACTTACTCGTAAAATCAAAATCGAATTAAATATGTTAAAATAGATTTTTAGAACGGTGCTAAATTCATTACATCTTTCAGACTTTGCTTCGGTCAAATTTAGACTTGTCCTGTGAGTATAATGCAGCACAAAATAGATCTTGAAGGTTAACACTCTGATTCCAAATACCATATAAGGTGAGTATGTATCCGTTTTTGGTTTGCATAGGAACATTTCTCCAAGGCTGCACTTAGTATTTCACAAAGGAATTGACAGCTGTCCAAATAACCCAGAGTCACACCCAACAGAAATAGACAGGAGAGAAGAAGAACTCACCATCAAACCCCCTCCAACGAGTCCCCCCATGTACTTCACCTCCTCGGTGATATGTCCATCTTGGGCATACTTGACGTCCCCACCAGGAAAGAATAACACAATGTTACAGATTATGGATATGACAGCCAACGGGTACAGAGTAACCGCAATGCAACGGGAACATTTCCCAGTGCACATGTTGTCTGACAGAAAAACTTGCGTAGGGAAAATAAGAAAAAACTCGCTCAGTAAGTTTTAGATCAAATCCTTGGGGAAACTCCTGCTTGAAAGTGACCAGATGAGGAATATGTGTTAGGATAGGAAGCAGAAGTCTGAACACAGTGAGGGATGTTATGGTGTGGGAGGTGCAATGACAGGGTGATAACAGAGGCTCGGATAGGCTGCAGAAGAAAATGTGAGTCATTCCATTTATGAGAGACACTGCTTGTTTTGTTCCGCTATTAGAGTTAATGTGTAGATGCACTTCTGTTTTTTAATAAGGTTAAAAATGCGTTCAGATCAGATGAGTCTCCCAAGCAGACGGTCACATCAATAGTACAAACTTGTGTTTAGTTTAGTGATCAAGTCTCTAAAACGCTCACTTTACTTGAATATCTTGAACTTCCTTCATGTTCTGTACTTTATTTAATCAACATGCTCCTGAGATGTGACCAAACATGAAGATTGAGTGTTAGAGACATGTTCTAACTCCACCTACTGTATGCACTATTGATTTAGTGAGTCCAGTATCACAGCACAGTTGGACTTTAGACCTGTGGCAGCTCGCTCAGAGGAACAAGGACAATGTGTCATTGACATCGACACAATGAACTAAGTTAAACACTGACCGGGTGGGCAGCATTTTTTAGTTTCTTCAAGAAGCACTTTGGAGGCTGCTTGAAATGACATTTAAAAAAAATGGGAAAGAAAGATGGAAAAAAAGACGAAGAGGCCGTGCTTCCCAAAACATGTGATGTTTCCTAGCAACGCATGGGCGAGGCCGCGTCAGTGCATCAGTAAATGGCGGTGGTAAATTATGGAAAAGCATGTCAGTGACTCTGGGTTTCTTTCTTGCCATGAGGGAAAGTATTGTATTAATCTGTTGTTCATTACAAGACACAGCCACCATCACTGAGAGCAGTTTCAGAAGCAGAGTAAAGCCCCAGAGAATGAGACTTTATGTGATTCAAGCTGTAGCTCATGGTCTTATTCATTTAAAACATGTTTGTACAAGATATTCAGAGGGGGAATTTATTTTACCTCGTCTGAATTACACCAATAGATTAAAACTTTTTGTCCTTCTTAAGCAGCCTGACATTTGCAATTATACTGTAAATTCAAACTGTGGGGATGAAATAAAGATGTAAATGATAATTATAATATTTTGTATTCTGATTTCCTAGCCAGTGTTTTCCTATGCAGATCCTCAGGAGCTGCTTCAATCGAGGCCACATCTTAAAAAAATACCTGGTCTTATTCTCATACAACAGAAGTTACTTTTGCTGGTTAGCATATCATCATCATCAGTTAGATATTAAACAGTAAGTTTTTATGACCCTGAATCATTATCAGTGTTGAAACTGACACAGAGGTGTGGTGAGATAGTGTAATCTGTAAAATCATGTGTCACTGAAGAAGGCCTTTGTCCTCTAATTTACTTTAGCAGCAATCACTCAAGGGCAGCCAGGTATTTATTGTTTGATCTATGAGCCAAATAATGAATCGGCCTGAATGATAAATGACAGCACAGCAATAAAGCTCAGCAGCTTTTATTTGAAACCAATTTGATCATACAAGCAGCATGAATTATTTTGAATACTTCTCTCAAACATGAAAGAATGTGAAATATGCCAATAGGTGCCATTTCAAAGCAGTTCAGTAATGTTGTTCCTCGGCCCAAGAGCGTCAGTCGACTCTTCAGATAACTGCAAATGATCAGATGCCTCCTGACCAGGAAGTTACGCTTTCTGTAATTGAAAAAGCAAAGAAACGGCAAAGAATAACAATAACATAGTATTTTTCAGCTGAACTTGATCCTCTCAGAACACGCAACCTCTGAATCCTGACAACGTGTGTGTGTGTGTGTGTGTGTGTGTGTGTGTGTGTGTGTGTGTGTGTGTGTGTGTGTGTGTGTGTGTGTGTGTGTGTGTGTGTGTGTGT